ATAACCCATTACCAATGCCAAAAAATAATCCCAGATACACTTGTCCATTCCTTTTCACGGGGTCCTTGAAAATGTCACTTTTGGACTTCCAAGAGGAATTTCCCAATTTTTCCAAATCCTATTGCAAATAACATTTTAGAAAACACTAGCAGGTCAAGAATATGATCACTACAGCTGGAAACCAAATTTGCTCTGAAAGCAAATCATAAATCAAAAATAGTTTATAGTTAAAATATAGCTATAGTAAAATAGCTCATTGTGTGCATAGTTGTTATTGTTGGTCACACCATGCGCATAACAGAGTTTTTACAATTATCCCCATAGTTCAGACTTTGGCCAGATTTTAAAAGGATTTCAAGTGCTCAACATAAGCAGGCGATACTCTCCGTGTTATCTGAAATGCAGGATATTAACGAGAAAAATTGAACAACTATGGCTCCTTAAAACTCTAGCCCCCTCCCTCCCACCAACAGACAACACATAAATTGAGAACCACTGCCACAAAAGCATAAAATACTGAATAATACATCTATAACACACAAGACTTAGAAGCCTTTGAAATGTTGCTGCACTAGAGGCTGTGACAAACAAGCTGATCCGTCCAAGGTCACAGTGAAGAAGCCAACCGGCTGTTGGTTTCGTTTTTTTTTTTTCCCCCAGGGGCATCAATAACTCACAACAGAGAAGAAAAAAAAAATCACTTTGCCACCCCAGGCAGATCTACTATACAGGAGGAGTGACCTGCGAGACCATTCACCTTGCCATTGAAGAGGATAACTGGACAGACAAACCTCCCTCGACAGCGGGCCATCTTGCTGCGGTTCACCAGGTCCTGCAGTTTACTAATCTGTACTGTAATCTCATACCTAAGGGGGGGAAAAACAAAAGATGTGTATTCTTCTCTGGACAGCACAGATTAAGAATCTTTCAAATACACTTGCCAGTTCTTTACACCGTCTGGTTTCCATGATGCTTGCTCACATTTCTCTCTGCCAACTGTTGTACGCATGTAGAATATCTTCAAGGAAATAGAACGCTGCAGGTTAACCTGAATTACTCTGTGGGTTAAAGCCTGGGTCATATTACTAGCAGAAAGATACCAATATACTTCTCACCTATACCCAAGTCTCTTCTGTTTTCACCCACTGCATTCTAACCTAAAAGGATAATTTGTTTTGCCTGTGAAACTATTAGATTCTCACATATCACACCCAGTAACATGTTGGACCTCCTCAAGCAGCAGGATTTAGAAGCATTTGCATCCCAATCCATTTCTTCTGGCGCGATCGCCTTCAGCAGAGGTTGTGACAAGGTTAATAGTGTGTGGGATTGAACTGCTTGTTTCACTGCTTCCACATCATTTCAACAGGATTGAAGTATGGGGATTGTTCTGGCCAGGGATGGCGACAGAAGACTGTCTTAGGTGCCTCAATCCAAACCATACATTCCTTCCCACCATGAGCCTATTTGCTTGCGAGGTTCCTAATATTTGGGCCAGTAGGGACAATTTTATACTCATCAAATGACTGGAACCCCCATTTTTCTTAAGAAGATCTTCAGAAAGACAAGCAAACTTAGGCATGACACATGATAGAAAACAACCACACATTAGAAATATCTCTTAAATTTTCCCTTAACGGTTGGAGGCAGACTCTTTCATGTACAAAGAAACCCCTCACTTTAAACACAAAGAGCAATTACTGCTTTCTATAAAAAAACAAGCACTTGTAACAGTATCTTCAGTTTCCATTTATCAGTCCAGCACTGATTGCTCATAAAAAAAGTCTTTAAAAATCCTCCATCTTTAAGGCAGGAGGAAGAAATAGTATATACACATCTCAAATGCTTAAAATGTTCCTGGTATGAGGATGTGCACCTGACAGCATGCAAATTCCAATTGATGCACAGGTTTAGTTTTAAAGTAGTACTGTTCCCTGGTTGGATAGCAGTAACATCTTGTGGCAGGTAAGATTCTGAACATGTAAATGCTGATGGCTAAACATTTTTTGGTTAATAGTACACCTTTACTCAAATTTTAAGTAGCAAAGAGTAATTTACAAATACAAGCTTTAAAGCAAGAGGAACCTTTCATTATGTATAAGCTTGGAAGTCACTTATGTACACCCCAAACCTGACCAAGCATGTTACTATATAAACTGTGGCCCTTGTGACTGGCAAATGAATCAAAGCTTGTAAGTAACATCACAGTGGTTCACAGTCCTGGTTTATTTGGGTCAACACACCTGCTCTTTCATTGCAGCTATACTCTTAAATGAAATTAATCCTTAATTGAGCCAACATGTAAATGCTCCAACCAACAACACGTGTTTTAGAGGTGGGAAATCTTAAATTACTTCTAAAACAATAGTTGAAGGGTGACCTAAAACAGCTTTCAGAATGGAACAACTAAGAGTTCAAATGATCATTATTAGGCCTGTGAAGGGTTAAGTAATCTAACCAAGTGCTCAGGTGAAATAATTCAGCAAGTGTGTGGGTTATGGGAACCAGGTTTGGGTGCCACTGCCATTAAGTATCTCCTTTAAAAGCATTTTAAATTCAGAGTCCAATTTTTTTTTACCGCTGAAACCATCAGTAATTGTACAAAGAGGGAGCATGGTGATAAATATTACAATGTGAACTCCAGTGGCTTCCTTCAAGCCAGGCAAAATAACTTGTGACAGGAATCATCCTTCAAGCTTTGCATCTATAATCCAAAGTGAATTAGTTTACAACAGAAGTGGTTCTTCCCAGAAACTCTCATATATTATCTACATAAGAGGCAGGGCTTTTAACAGACCTGTTACACGCAAGTATAAATGCAATACATTTCCATAATTTAAATAGAACATACACACGCATACTTTTACTACAAAGTGATGAAATGCTACTTTTTAAATCTGATCTATACCCTTAAACTTCTACTTGTGCAGCAATAGACCTTTCCACGTCTCGAACTACAAAGTAACTATTTTTCATAGACAGCTGATGATTGCACCAATGGGCAAAGTGCTCTACTGATTCTGTTTACGTGAACTTTGATCATTCAGAAATGCATCAGAGGACAGAAAAAGGACATTTTCAATGAAAAAATGCTGGGGGGAAACATCACTAGGAAGAAGCAAAGAAATACCTCTCTTTGTCGTGTTCTGAGCTCTCATACTCCAGGAAGACGATCTGTCGGGGGTAGTGGCCACAAATCTCCCCATTGGGATTTTGAATTAAACTGTATTTGTAATCCCTGCCAAACAACTCCAGACACCTTCTCTCAATCTGCTCCACCTAGAAAAGTTATAAAAAGAGAATATCTAGTGCATAATAGGAAAATGTAATCAGCGTTACTTGTAATCAAATCAATAAACCACATTTTATAGGCTTGGCATCTTGAAATACTCAAATCAGTCTCAAATGACTCAAAAAATATTCTTATTCAATTCTGGAAAGATCACACACATTAATGCATGTCTTTCGCTCCGGTTTGAATTAGCGTCTGAAAGCACGTTCAGCATCATCGCTTACTTTAAACTTGTCAACCTTTCAATGCACAAAGCCTGTCTTGTTCCAGAATTCTTTCAGATACAAACAGCTATTGAGGATCTTCATTTCCACCATGAATGGGATCCATAATTTAAGTAGTAAGAATGTAAAAAGTTAATTGCCGCCAATCACATTCTTCACTGCATTTGGTAAAAAATTCAAACACCATCTCTACATGTGTGCGAGTTCATATTCTAATTCTCATCCTGCACAGTGCTAATTGAAAAGGTGTGAAGAGGAATGGAAACAAGAACTACAGCTTCTACACTATTCACAAATTTGGGCTCCATTAAACAAGTGTTCTACGGCGGCTAAAAAGCTGTTATTTCTGTTCGCTACCATAATGTGCTACCTGAAAGTGTTTGAGAATAGTTAGTGCAATTTAAAAATCTATAGCCATCTTCTAGGCTGTGTAGGATTTATACAGTCTAAAATTAACGAGCAAGGTACACGGGGTGTAGATTAAACACGCTGACATCCTCCGCGTTTCTTCCCTGTAGCAAAACATGACCGGCGTTTTCATTTTTTACTCTTATTTACAACACGCTGTATGAAATGAAGAGTCTGGGCAAGACGCAAACTGCCAAACCCTGCTTCCCAACGCCAGAACAATCACATTCCGCACCTACCAAATCTATAGCTGACGAAACGCAGTGGGATAGGACTACAGAGTGACGAAGCGGGAATTACGAATCCGCAGAAATGTATCGAGCAAATCATTCTTCGTAAAACGGCAGCTTAATGAGAAGGGTGGCCCGTTTGTTTTACCCAAGCGCAGGGGCGCGACAACAGCGTCCAGTCTCAAGTTGCCCACCGATCACCAGTCAGCCACTGACTAAAAACCGCACACTTCCCAAACCACTTCCCACTCCAACTCGCGGAACTACCGGGACATTCGTGCTCCATTCTTAAGAATATTTGTGCGCGGCCCGTTTGAGAAGGTCGAATACGGAACTTACCTTGGGGTTGACCTCCTTCGCCTTGTAATGGCATTTCGAAAAGTAATCGATCAAATCCACGATCTCCTCGCTCCTCCGGACTGGGTTTCCCGAGGCAGGTGAGCAGTCCGATGAGACCAGAGCGGCCGCTGCCATAGTTGTCCGTGCGCCACGCCGGGTCGGCTCTATCTGGACCTCACCACCCTTAAATACCGCAGCACCCTGGGCTCGGGTGGACCCATCAGGCCATCGTCTCCCTGCCAATTTCTTCCTCACCGCCCGCTTCAAGGGTCCAGACCCGGGTAACCTGTTTGAATTCAGGGCCCCGAAAAAAACGTATCCCTCTAAAAAAAAAAAAAAAACGGGGCACTTTCTTTAAACCTGTTTTATGAGGTCAGGGTGTCGAGGGAGAAACCGAGCCACGTCTCAAATGATATGTCCCCAAAACAACAGCTTCAGCCAATCATACCTCGGTTTAAATTGGGGTTTGAAATCGAAATACCTCTCGGAGAAGGAATACGAAGTCATCGGAAACCCAAGTCAAAACACAGCAGGCTGCTCAGAATGTCACAACACTTCGGCCATCTCAAAATCGGAAACAATAACAACACTGAGAAACTCCTGAAGTTTAAATCCGGATTCTATGCTGATGAAAACTCCAACTCCATCTTCATACTGTGCCAGAGATAAATCACAGGAGATGAGGTCGCCGGGAGAGTGAAGCAGGAAAATCCGAGGACTGTCGGCCGGTTAGGTTTGTAAACGCCATGTCGACGTTTCTCCTAACTTTTTTCCGCGAAATCCAGGTGGCTGTGGGCTCGGAATATTGAACCCAGTTACAGGAAGTAGAAAGAAGTTTTATGTAATAGGGAGCATGTATATCCCTTCACTGAGCGGAGAGAAGCTCTTCGGGACAAATAGTAAACAGGAAGTTCAAGTAGTCACGTGATTGCCACCGCCCCTTCCAGCTGTAAAATAGACCACTTCCCGGCGTGAAGTGACGTAATAGTTCTCCGTTTTACAGCTCCGAGGAGAAGAATTGTACAAAGGAAGTTTTCCTGTCAGGAAATTCGAATCTGATTTTGTTCCATTTTATGATTTAAAGATGAACTGTCCAAAGAATGTTATTGTGCGGGCTTACGTGTTGTTTCACATATAGTACACTACACAGTATTTGTTTTAACTTTAAACAATAATAAGTACATGTACCGTAGAGTGCATTGAGTGTGTTTAATCGGTATCAGTTTTAGTTTACGTTGTACACATTTAAAGGTGTTCAAAGCAAAAACATTGCTTATTGTAAAACGTAAAGGCACAGGTGATCATATCTTAAGTGTCCTGTAAACGTATAAAAAGTACAGTGTTCCTTAATACAACCAGTATTTAGGAATCATAACATTCCAGATTATCAGAGATTAAAAGAGAACCCGTAAATACAGAATACTTCTCCCCTTCTGATATTAAGATTTTTATAAACAATCAACACAACAGTCAACAATTCTTATTTCTTTTTATTGGAATCTACAAGATTGACTTTTTCGCGCAAATGTCTGGTGCTTTTGTCAAATTCTGCAAATTGGCTCTGTGACAGATCCTATGTGGTACAGAGGTGTTTTTGAGACATTGTCTATCTGCATCTCTCAATCCAAGCACTGAGTCCTGAATTGTCTAATTTACACTATAAACCCAACAAAATACGAATTAAATTTTAAAAGTAAATTTAAATACATCTCTCACTCTTCATTCTTTTATTTTTGCATTGTCAAACATATACTACACTCAGCTGAGGATTTACAATGACAGGCTCACATTTCAAACCCACTGTACCCCAAGCACAGTGAGGCAGAAAGGAGAAAAAGAAGAAATTTTATCTGGTGATTACATGATGTACTGATATCCACAGGTATCTGCTGACCTTACATTTGAATTTCATATTCTGCTAAGGAATAAACCTAAAGGACACAAACACGCTTTAAGTATAATAAAATTATGCCTGAGAGACATAAAACCTTTTAAGAGATCTCTCTGTAATAATAATATTAATAATAATAATAATAATAATCTCTCTGTAATAATAATAATAAAAGCTTTAAACACAAGATCCTGTACATTTACAGTATACACATAACTGTAGTAAAAGAGAAAAAAGGCAGCAAATTTGCCAGGTGAAACTAAATTATTCATTATTAGCTAAAGTGAAACTTCCTTTTAAAACAATTAAAAAAATGTTGAGATTAACAGAGGGTGTAACCCAACGTTTCTTGCCATGGAGGTACTGTAAAGGTTTGCACATTCTTGACATGCCTTATGGCTTACGGGACGGTTTGTGTATTTCTGCAACTGAAGGCAAAACCATGAGAAAAAATATGTTTCTTACATTCTTCTATCATCTACTGACAGGGCTTGTAATATACATTTTTGATAATTAAATGAGAGACGTTGATGTATTCCTTCACATGTGGTCTCTGTGTTGTTGTTGTTAATAGGAACATAACACAACACTCTCAAATAAGTGAGGTTCTATTAAAACTATTAACTATGTTCTGTCTATTGAAATATTGTTGTCAGTTTGCTATTCTTATTTGTACACAGATCAGATTGACAGACCTTCACATTTCAGGGAAGTGCAAATAGTCTTCACTGCCAACCATAAACTGACAGTTAAATTACAAGAAATGCTGCATTCGAGCCTGAGCAGGTTTAATTACTGCAACAAGTCTGCTGGTTAGTCATCTGAGAATGGATTGCCTGTTTGAAATTCTTTGAAGACAGTTCCCCACTTATAGAAATAATAATATCAGCACCTATGCTGGTCAAAAATGTTATGGCAAAAAAATTGGGACCATTTTTATTATTTTAGGTATTGGGAGAATTAAAGTTTTGTTTACTATCTAATTTTAAAATGGTTACATCATTTTTTACTGTATAAAGAACTTGTACTTTTCTATAAGAAGAGTTGTAGCAACTGGTATTGATGACAACAGGTGAAAAAATAAACAGATCTTAGAAAGACCTATGACGTGAGGCTGTTCAGTCATAGAATGTTAAACTGAAAATCCCATTAAATCAGTTCTAAATAAATAAAGTTTATTTCTGACATAGTTTAGGGTTTTCCATGTTAGAACAATGCAACATACAAAAAGGCTTATTAAGCTCTTTATTATCACAGTTCTGCAGTCCCCATGTTGCTATAATTAAGCGCTATAATTATGAGATCCCCTTTCCACAGGGAACCTGACAGGTTTTGATCACCTACAGTACCTTGCTTCACTGGCAAATAACCCTTGTTCAGCCATATATATTGAAAAAATTATAGCTTTCAGTTTTTCCATACACGCTTAAGCAAAGTCTTAAAAACATTTTTATCTTTTCCAGAAACACATGTTATTATTTATATGGATCAACATGTGCGTTGATCAATATTCTTTCCTGATCTTTGAACCAGGAAAGACTGTAGAGATATCCCCAGCATCGTCCAAAAATAACAACCCTATTAGGGATGAACATTCACAGCCTGCTGCACCCACTCAATTGATTGAATCCTTGGTAATTGTAATACATTCTCCGTCTTGATTGACAGTAGAAAATGCTTCACTCAGCGCTGTTACGCAGGCAGTCAGTGTACTGACATGACACGGAAAAGCCACTTCTTTTTTCCGGAAGAGCAAATACAAAAACAAACAGAAATCTAATCATAAGTGCATATGTGCATTCCAGGGCACACTGTTTTGACATTTTGTAGTTAATGGTCTTTTACTAGGTTTAGAAGTGACATATTTGAAGAATTTATTTGAAGAATTTGAAGAATTTATGCTTCCGCTTGTTGTCTCCTATATCATGTTTTGTTGAACAGCCCAGTCTCTATGTTGGCTTGTGGAATTCATAGTAAAATTAACAGGTTTTTTGGCTTATATTTAACTTCAAACAATTTTTTACTTGCATTTCCTTTCTGGTTCGGGTATATGGCTAATTACATCACACTTTATTCTCACAACTAGGTTTGAGGAAGGGGCTTTTTATTCTCACAAGTGACACCAACACTGAATGATGAATATTGTTTCTTACTGTCAGGATCTTGGAGTAATTCTGAACAAACAGTGTGAATCCTGATATAAGTATTTATCGTTGTGTCAAGACTAGGTAAATCACTTTAAAAAATCATTATTATAAATTATATATGACTCTTAGAAACAAGGGTTATAGACAATACATACAGTATTACACATGTGATGTGAGCAATTCAAATGAATATGAAAAAATGAAATACAATTGAACTGGGCAATTTATATGTTTGATAAAACAAAGAGGATCCAATCATCTTGCCAGGCGTCATGAGTGGATCAAGCTTTTAGACTGGAACAGGTCACAGGTAACAGATCCTGCTCTAACAGGTTCAGTCAATACCCCCGGACAATATCTTTCGACTCACTGGCATCGTCTTTCGGTTCCACAGATGTGCCTGTTGAAAACATTTCTAAGGCACGGTGTCCCCAATGTTTCTAATTAATTCAATCCATTCTGCCTTCAGCAGCCTTATTCCCAGTAATCATTTCACTCCCCAATCCCAGAATTGTAATTTCTCAGCGAAGCGTATCTCTCCCTTTGCACACGCAGCCTCTCCTCTGTCGTTTCCACAATGGTGGTTCAATTGTTACATGTCTAAATTGGATACTAAACACTTCATTTTCTTTAATTGTGGGATTCTAATTCAGCCTCTCAGTGGACCTTTTTTATTACATAAGGCTAAATGATAGTTCATACTATGCTTTTATTTCTCCACAACCCCTATAATGTTTGTGTTGCAGGGTTTAAAACATAGGCACTATTAAGCACATACCGTACCTTTTCACAGCTGTCATATGCAATTTATTCATATTAAGACAAGATTTTAAACATTAATAATTTGGCCAATTGCATTACCTGACATTTACTTGTTGACGTTACTTTGACATTTCTCTGTTGCACTTCAGCAATATTTTTACTGTGTGGTTCCGCCAGATGTGTGAAATCATTATTCCAGTTCTGAAATCCCTTTTCAGTAGTACTCACAGGGTGTGTTCCTCCACTCTTTCATCGAATCGGGAACTGTTGCAACATGACATTTGTCAGCCTTTTATGTACTGTACGTGCATACAAACTTTCCTGACGCAAAAGTCACAGACACACATTTCTTACCATCAATGTGTCATTTAATACCCGGGAAGTAATGAACCATGCAAAAAGGACATGTAAATTCTAACATTTTCTACAGCCATGTCAGAATATTTAATGATACACTTGAGCAAGTTCAATGGGTTATATACGCTTATTTATTAAAGGTGGTGCGTTTCCGTATATTACAAAGAACTGTGGGATGGCCACATGTAAAATTTGAAAATCCAGACGTATTTACTCTCTTCACATATACACTGTAGTTTGTCTACCAGAGCACTAAATAATTTTACACTTTAAGAGAATTGTAGTCAATCTTCTGGAATTGCAAAGGTTAAAGGGTAAGGACCCCCTATTATTAATCAAATTACATGGACATCTACAGTTAACCTTACTAACCTCGATGAAAAACTATATATCAGTGTTTTAAAGGAGATAATTTAGCACAATAAGAGGAAATCTGCCAGGCTGAACAAATAAAGACAGATTTGGTGATTAAGTGTGAATATCCTTTATCCTTGAATACCAGACCAGCTGTTGTAGGATGTGTTTATAAATCTTAACATTCATTCCTTACATAAATTGAACCTCAATCATAATGTTTTTATTTTATTTTAGACATTCCTAGCATCTGGAAATGATTATCATGTATTCAGTTTCTCCTACCTTCATTTCACATTCACACATCGTAATAGCATAGTCGTATTACAAAATACAGTAAAAGTCTTACACTGTTAATTTGAATATTTCATAGAGAAATTTTAATAAAATAATCTGGGAAGGGTGTATTAAGCACTATCACTACTGGACTCCATACCCAAAGAATCATATTCAGTGTGCAGTTGGTAGCTGATGAAGAATCAAGGAGATCCCAGCCAAGTGTCTTGTAGTCAGTTTTAATGGATTGCTTGCACACCACAGTCTTTCACAGTCTGTAATGGAGATCAAAATATCTGGGAACTGATAAAAATGTTTGAAAATGTAATGTGTCTTTCACCATAATCTTTCTCTCCTCTTTCTTAGTATTTATTAGGTCACCTTTCACAGTAGTGGCCTATTTCCAGAACAAAAATTAACATATTCCATGTGATTTCTTATATTAGTTTATTTTAAAGGATCAGTCAGTTGAAAACAAATTCTCATTTGTAAGGATGATGTGGAGCAGAGCTCCATTTATATGGTAGGACATTCACTGAAGTATCTTGCTCAAGGGAACAGACGTAACTTTTCATTGACCATCTGGTCTGGAGTCTTAATCACTACTCTGCACAGCTGCCTTAGATGTATTACTCTTAGAAATATGAAACCTTTATTAAGGTCAGCTTACAAGTGTTGTATGCAATTAAAGTTGATTCTACAATGCAATATTGAACATAGCAGAATATAAAGAAAATAATGTGCAGTAAACACAGGTAGATGGGAGCAGGTGATCACTGAGAAATGACCAGTACAGGAGCAAATCTAGAGAAAATAGTGAAATTACGAAATGTGAGTTGTATAAATAAGAGAGAATGAAGATGACTGCTTTTACAGGTCAGTTGTTCACTAGAAGAGAAATGTGCATCTGCTGCAGCCTCCCTCAAGCTCTAAGTGCATTTTTTTGTTGGGCCAGAGTGCTTGCAATATTCTCTTTGTTGGCCTGCATTAAGAATACCTTAGCCGTGAAACCACTTCACATTGTAAGAAAACGCAATATACCGAGGATAGAGTCCATTATAGAATCCCTTTTTTATTTCTTTTTCTTTCTTTGTTATTGCAACATGGTGCAAACAAAGAAACAATGGCAATCGAATAGCAAAGAGACATGGTGAATAAAATGTAATGTTAATACTTAGCAATCCACACAGTAAATACAGGTAGGAACATACACTATTCTGGTGTAGCAAGTGTGTGATTCTGACAGTCAATTCATTTTTTTTAATCCCAAATCTCCTTTCAAGCCAAATCCCAATCCCAGTTCTGTGAAATTTGAGGAATGAATTGGACACAAAGATTGGTTTAAAAAACAAACATGGGTTTGAAAAACTGGAATTTACGTAAATCATGTGTTCTAAGCTGTAGGAAGCTATGTTTGAAAAGAAATCTTAAGGTCTGAACCAACAGGTAAGTTTCATGTAAGTAATGCGTCAATTACTACATTTTGGAATAGTAAAAAAAGCATTATATCTTCTTATATCCAATTAAACAGCATTACATCGATTATATTACCACAAGCCACCCAACATATCAGCCTTCAGAAATTGACAAATGATTCTATAGGCCACTAAATGTAAACAGCGCAAATACTTCACTGGGTCTTATGATTTTGATCTCTTTCTCAAATATAAGGTTTCACCATTTTTCTTTATTTATCCATGTTCGCATTTGGCTGACATTTATACTCAAGCCAACTTCAAAGGCTTGCTGCAGACCCAATAACATTTATTATTCTATCAACAAGCGCAGTCTAAATAGGAAAGTGTCATGAAGAGTTGATATCATGATACATAGAGAGGAAGGACAGGTGGAGCACTGCTATAATAACAACAACCTATTACACTCAAAGAAGCTTCAGTCAAATGTCCAGCTTTACAGTATAAATGGAAACAAATACCTGTATACTGTGAGCCATTTTGGATGAAAGCTTTATACATCCAGATTAATAATACTGTTTTTACAGGCAATGTGGGGAAGACATTTTAAAGAACTTTCACAATGCTTCAGTTCAAACACCAGGGTAATCATGCTAGCTGATTTCACCTAGACAGTTCTGACCCAGTCTGCGATCCCAAACAATGCAAGATTTTTTTCTAGTTTGGAAGAAGTCCAGAGAAGAGCAAAAAGTATAATTCCTGAAACTGAATCTCTATCATACAGTATATACACAGGTTAAAAGATCTGAATACACCTAGTCTGAAACACAGAATACTTTAAGGGGATTTAACTGAGTCATTCAGAACCCTTACTGGGACTGAGAAAGTCTACACAAATCTTCACAAAACCCTATGGAATAAACAAAGCAACATGAATTAACTATCACATTTGACTTTGTGATTCTATCAATTGGCACGAATAGAAGCATTGGTTCGCAAGCACTGGGAAAACCACAATCGCTTATTAGTTTCAAAGTTCCAATATTAGTTAAAGAAAAACAATTGATTTCCCTCATATGAAGGTCCTAACATTTCTTGACACCAGAACTTTGTGAACTAGGGATGTGTGATCACATGCACAATGATGTGAGGAGAGATAGTGACTTACTGCAAATACGGTCCTTGCATGATTGTCAGTGTTTGGTTTCTGAATGCATGGAATAATATTATTCCCTTCAAAGCAGAAAAATGTATTATACTTCATAAAGTTAATGAAAAGGACACTATTTCATTTTGCCCTTGGTCTAAATATTTTTGAGATTCAACCAGTGTTGAGTCAATGTACTGCAGATCACTATGCATTACGATCAGGGCAAGTTGAGGATCATGGTTGCCTGTCACTAAACCTTATTCTAAAGGTTTCTAAAAATAGGTCTATTGTAAATTTACAATATTTTAGTGTTGATGTTATGCCTCTGATGATGAACCATGGATATTCAGTGATATAGGACCAGTATTTTTAAAATAACATCATCTCCATGAGCCACATGATATTTGCTTGCGGTTCAAGTACAAACATTCAGTGTATTTCAATCTTGCCAGCAGGATTGCCTCATGAGGTGCAGAATTGTGTTGTCCGGAATGCGTGACAGCTCAGCAAGACACTTTGATTTATTACTTTGTCTTTTAATGCACAGATCACGTCATCTCCTGGTCTTAAGTTACATTGTCCATGTTTATTTACACTATGTAACATCATGTTGTACCTAAACCTAAAAAGGTATAACAGCCATTATCCCATTTTACTAATGGTGTGTCAGAATACAAGACAGTAAAGCACACATACTATGCATTTTACCATTACTTCAAACTAATCGTGTCTAATTTTGATCATCTCAGATCTCCTTTAGCACACTGGGAAGTGTTGGGTGTGTCCACAGTAAAGATGTTTGAAACAATTCAATTTATAACCTAACCCACTGTTAAACAAAATGTCAGAGGTAGCATCCCAAAAAGTCAGAGTGTCCAGTGTACCATAACCACACTTGCCTGCTGTCTGCAGGCTTAACAGGAGGCTGGAGAAGGGCTTTTTTAATGAAACCTTGTATGGTCTGTGTCTGAATTGCAGAATGTTCTAAGTGTCAGCAATTGTCTTCATGAAAGGAATGCCAAAACAGAGAAAGCCTCACAAATTAGCAAGACTAGATGCACTGGGCTGTGTGAAATTAATGAAAGTGGATGGAGTGTGACTCTTAAGATCTTCAAGGCGAACAAAAAAGAGATAAAAAGCTGTCAAAGTATCCTAAGGCACCACCACAAAAAAGAAGAAACATACTCCTGTCTGAATGGAGGTTACAATTAAATTTGCTTTCCTCAGCTGTAATAAAAAGTCAATGAGTACTGCTGTTTTTAAGGACTATTTTTAACAAGGCTTTTTCAACTGCTAGAGAGAGCAGTACAAATAGTTTTCAGTCATAAATTCAAGAAAACATTTTCCACTTTACAAATTCAAACATTCCTCTTTGAAAAGTCAGAGACACAAAAAAGCATTCCAAATTTTATGATGTTAAGAAAATAGTGTATTAATGTTTATAGTACTTTTCTCATTCAGCCATTTGCGTGCTTGGAAGACACTAAAAAGATACAGAAAAAACAGCAGAAGTGAAAGGAGTTCAAGAATAGGCCATCTAGAAAAACCACAACGTTCTTTATGTAGTAAATTCTTAATGTTTTGGGCAGTGTTTCTGACAGTGCTGTGTATACACAAACACATGCACACACAACACACAGTCAGAGCTGCTTTACAGTGACTTTGATTTTGATACACAATATAGACACTTTCAGAAAGTAATCAGTAGAAGGAACAAACAGAAGGTCATACAGTATTGTATTTTGTTACCCTTCTCCTCATAAACAGACATTTATTTTTAATTGTTTACCCGAGGAAATTAATTAATTAATTGCATTGCCCTCTTACTTGTTGGCTTCACTGCAAGCAGATTTCCCTTTGCAGCTTCTGCAAATTCTTCTTTCATTCAACAGATCTGGGCACAAACCAGATTTACTTAGAATTCCTGGATTTACTTATGCTGAAATTATCAACAACATAACATCATGATCATTAACACTCTTAAAGTACATTGGCCTACATACAGTATGTAATACTATTTAAAATAATCAGCTTCTTTGAAACATATTAATATTGTATTTTTAAATGATTCTGTGTTCATACACAATTTTAAGTTATTTTCAGACATTCTTAATAACATAAGTACCAAGGTCTACAAAACAAAATGACATTTGCACATGTATAAACAGTAGCTATATAAACCAGAAGACTGGAGACCTTGCTAAGTTATTAATAAAGAAATTGCTTCTTCTCCATTTTCCATCTCCAACCTTACATTATCATAAATATTCTACCAGGTGCACTTATTTCTGGTAGTCCACTGGTTTTCACGACTGTTTACATGAGGCAGGTATTGCTCATAATTAAAGTAGTGATATTTTGTAGCAGACAAAATGCAATTTTTGCATTTTTGAAAGCAATAATTGCTGCTAATTGCCAGTGATTACAAGCAATTTTTGTGCAACATTCTGTATATGTAATGTAATTTGTAATGTAATTAATGGTCAGGCCAAGAGAACAGCATTAGAATATGCCTGATACAACTGCTATTAACAATAAAAGTACCATGGTTTATCAGCAAGTGTAACTTTGACTCAGGCCAGGACAAAACTTTTAATTTGGATTATTCTATTATTAACACAGTTTAATAACAAGGCACACTGGGTGATATTTCTTTGAAACAGACAATTATGGCTGTGGTCAGATTTTTCTCTTCTCTTCAGATATTATTTCTCTTGGTTTTTACCCTTTCAATCAAAATACATAAGTCAACTGGTACTTTTATAAACTTGAATTGTAGCTTGTAGAGAAAAAAAAAGAAATATTCTTTAAATTGTAATCCTCATTTATTTGATTTTATTTTTAATCTTAAATTACCAGCATTTTAATGAATTGGAATGTTAGGTGGTGAAGCTGTATTGTTAATGGTGTGAAGTACTAAGTGATTCATAAAATCAGAACATAGTGTTCAGACCAAGTACCTAGTAGTATAGCACGGAAATAGTACATAAATACGTAAGAAAAATGACTACATTTGATCAACTTCAAAAACAGGTATGGCATAACAAAAAAGACAGTGCCTTTTCTTGAAAAAAATGCAAGGTTTTCCGTGGAAGCATTTGTAATGCAAATTTCTGCAATGTAAGTGAACGCGCCGTCAACATCCCTCAACATCGTCGTGCCCGCGCAGAAAAAGACAGAGAAGCAGAAATCACAATCATGGAGTCCCAGCAGCAGGCAACATCAGTCCGGGAACGTCCACATCTGCAATTCTTTTAGAACCGAAATCCATCGGATCGCGGATATCTGCGCGTGGGTTCATACGGATGTTTCTATTTTGGGTTAGATGCCCGATTGTTACAGGAAGATTCGTTTTCAAAAACCACACGAAACAGCCTCCGTCTATCCTGGCTTTCATTCGGATGGGAGGCACAAATACTGTTCATAGATGCAATGAACTAAAATAACGTTGGTGTTTGATTAAACATGTGTCATTGCATTGCGAGTTAGCATTGCTTTTTATTTTAATCGCATAGGATTCAACTTATCGCTTAAACATCGTGCGTGTGTTATTTTTTTTTTTTACATGCGACCACATCAAAGGAACCGTGGATCTAATTATTTGGACTAAACAGCATAGTAAAACTGACCTTCAAATAATTAAATAGACTGCTGTTTTTTTTTGGTGTTTTTTTTTTTGTTTTACCTCTACATCCCAGCTTTAGCGACACAAGAAGACGGGGGGAAAGGAAAGATGCTGCCTTCACAAGAAGCCTCCAAGATTTACCATGACAACTACATGCGGAACTCCAGGGCCATTGGGGTGCTATGGGCAATCTTTACCATATGCTTTGCCATCATAAATGTGGTCGTTTTTATCCAGCCCTACTGGATCGGGGACAGTGTCAACACCCCGCAGGCAGGCTACTTCGGGTTGTTTCACTACTGTGTGGGCAACGGCGTCTCGAACCGGGAGCTCACCTGCCAGGGTACCTTTGCAGATTTTAGCTCGATTCCCTCCAGCGCATTCAAAGCAGCCTCGTTCTTCGTGCTGCTGTCCATGGTGCTAATTCTGGGCTGCATCGCCTGCTTCGCGCTCTTCTTCTTCTGCAACACGGCTACAGTCTACAAGACGTGTGCGTGGATGCAGCTGCTGTGTGGTAAGGCGATTGCGTTTCACTCTTGCTTTCTGGGGGTCGGGACCGTTCTCGTCGCTCAAGGAAGGGTATCCTGGCTATGGCTGATCGTGCGTTGAACGCCTTCCAGCACACGCAAGTCGGGCCGCTAAGCAAGTCGAGGGAAGAGACGCTGTGGCTTGCAAGTTTCGTTTGAAAATGGAAGGGGAAAAAGAAATCCCCCACGATCAGTCCAGATTGTAAACGTTAAAACGCCACAATCTCGTTTTATTGGAATATTTCGGAAAGGGTTGTGAAATGACGAGCGGCAATTTCGGCGTCTGCAGAAAAGTTCTATCATTTCAAAATGTTATAGTGGTCAAGGATGGTTATCAATCACTTTAGCCTCATAACATGGTTAAATCTGACTGTCATAGTCCTGTATACGGTCTGTAAGAACATACGCTAGTATCGCGCATACAATGGAGCCTCTTGTGAGAAATTAATCACACATAGGATTCCACAGGGGATTCCCTGTTACTGAAGGGTGTGCAATTTTAGTAACTGAAAAAAAAAAACCCACAAAGGCTAAGAATTCTCTACAATTCACGAAGGTAGTATTATGGTCTTACGGATTTCTGTTGGTATGGTATCATCTGAAGGTGTTGGCTATTAGTTCTCAGAGGACTGTCGGCTGACAAAGATTTCTCAAAGATCATTTGTCTTAATTAAGCATAATAGATCACTACTTAGGCTTTTCCGGGTGCTATCTGGAAATCCGCTTGCAATATCTTAAATATCTTGAGTATCTTTTTGTCACAGAAACATACCTGTAGTTACACACGATTTCAAACATTCTTGAAGTAAAAACTAGCGTACTGGATGTAAGGTGTTCAAATTGGACCGATCCTCTATTGAATATCACCGATCTAAATATAGTTGAATGGTTTTAAGCAAATGACAACCATAAATCTTTATTACGGAAATTAAAGGCTAATGTTATTCAACACTCTTTCTCCGGCTTCCTCTCTGTTTTACCGAATCTTTCAGTAAACTGCTTACTGTATAAAATAAACCAAGCACGAAGCTATCATACAAAACGCATTACAGTATTAGTTTTGGAATGGCAGATTGACCACTGACAACCAGAAAACGCAAGAGATTTAATTAAAAATTAAATGGTATTTCACTGCTGAAGTGAGTTTAATGGTTAACGTCTTGCACATTTGAACTGCGGTATATGTTACATTTTACCGCTGAACGCTGATCGTAATACCACATTTTTGTATAACAATTATCATAGTACTCAGAAAATACTTTTCAATTATAATAATAATAATAAGAAGAAGAATAATAAGAAGAATGTCCTTTCCATCGAAATCTTATTAAGAATAAGAATTCTGGAACATCACATTTAAAAACCTATGCTACCTTATGTTATCTGTTTACCTTGGCAATGTTAAAACAGATATTTGTAATGTTGTTACGTGTCTGTTCTCACCTTTATAAAACAGGATCATATGGTGGAAAAATTAACATTGGAGTAAAATATAATTCAACTCAGTGTAATACTACTAAGACACGGTTTTTAACATCAAATTATTTTTCTTTGTTAATTCTTAAAATCATGCTTTATTATGAAAGGTGTAGACAAAAACTAGTTCAGTATATAGTATGTAAAACACATTACTTCAAAAAATACATTTACTTGTTTTTTACAGATTTGTGCTGCATTTGGGGGGGGGGGAGAGAGATTAAAATTAAATTATCTGATTGTAAATTATACAGTATGTCTGATAAAATTACACTTGAAAACTTTCTTGAAGTACAGTATCTGAATATGTATCACTAGTCCTTTAGTCTGTTTTAATCTTAGAGTAGAATTTGAGTTAGTTACAATAATGGGAAAATGTTCTGTAGGAGTAAATATTAAGGTTAGGGCTGGGCTTGAGGTTTCTGGAGATATTTTTACTTTTGCAAGCTTATTTGACAAGCTATTCAAGTTAATGGTTTCTATTGCATTAAGCTAAAATTTTATTTTTTACTCTTCTGTCCAGCTAGTACATACAGTATATTTGTAAAGTGTGACTACTGTATAATTAGACTATACTCCAAAGGTCTAGAATGAGATAATATTAAATATTTGTGCCATATTTATATAATCTTAAAGATTTATTACTTCTAAGAAATCTGACCATAAATCTGCTCTCATTGTTCACAGGTTTTAATGTCCTAGCATGTCTTAGGCTTGATTTTCACTGTAAAGTGTTTTAGTAAATGTTGTTAACTTCTGTAAAGACCTTTGAGAAAAAAGACCCATACACATTTTACTATTCCTAAACTTTATCCAGATTTGGAAGTAGTTTGAAATGAAACATTAAAGGAATTGAATTACGCAAACTCCATGTACAGGAAAATGCAAAATGGCAGATGTTCAACACAAACTGTTTTTTTTTCTGTAAATGGTTGCAGTTTTACCTGACATTTTTTGCTGTCCAGGTTTTTGTTCGGTTGTTTTCATTTCTGAAGACTTCCATGTCGGTGAGCAATAAGGTTGGTCTATAACAGATTGTTTTTTCTCATGGGTACCTGAATGATCAAGTTGTCATATGTTCTTAGTTCCACAGAAGCTCCTTGCAGATTTCTAATTACATAAACCCCTTAATTAATTAGACAAGGTGCAAATTAATTGGGCTAAGTGTGAATTAGCCACAGTCTGTTTCTTTAGGTAAGTCTCATCTAATTATTGAGTTGTCAGAGAGGAACATTGCGACCAGCTTGGACTGCAGAACCAACCACATTCACAAAGTGCCTGATTTACTCACTAAAGATCCTATTTCTTATTACTAAAATATATGCCATTCCTCATCGTGCCTTTTTATGTTTTCTACTGTCCAATTAATAGTGTAATTAAATTGAGATAATCAAAAGGTGTAAGAACAATTAAAGTATCTTTTTGGAAACCAAAATATATTTGTTTTTTTTCCACCAAACAAAAGAAAAGGGGTCCCAGCCTTTGCAGTTTATCTGTCCTTGATATTTTCAGTAGGAAATTGAAATCTCCAAACTTGAAATGTATTGTTTTTTAAATTACAGTGTACACATTTTTTGATTGTGCTTTATATTTTATTTCGAGATTCATTTCGAGATTTTATTGACATAGATTAAGGATGAAATCTACTGTATATGCAATAACAACTGTTACTATACTGCACTGGTATGTACCATTGTTCATCTAAGCTATGTGCACTACACAATGTGTTGCTCCAAGAATATCTTATAATATTAGTACGCAAAAAAATCACATGAGGGGTACAAGGGTTTCTTGTGGAACTAGTCCTGAAGTAGTTAGGGTCTCTTAACCATACAACCAGAAAATGCTCCAATGTTGCAGACATTTTTGCAAATCATATTCTCCATCTCTCTGGAATCTAAGTGCAATTGCAACTTCATCCATATTCTCTTTTCTTAGCTTCAGCTTATGTAATTACTCCAGTACTTTCAGTTATTGATTAGTTATTCCACATGCCAAGTCATTTTTCACTAATTTATATTACAGTATATGTAAATACTTAAATACTTAACCAGTAGATCCCCTTCAAATGAAAAAAAGTAAGAGAGAATGTAGATGGAACTTTTACCTTATCTGCATTTGTTTCCTTTCTATTGTTTTTATACCCTTCTCCTCTATTTTCATTGGCAGATGTTGTATTTGTATGCAGGGCTTTTAGTTGTATTCAGGCTTCATTACCAAATCAAATATTTTATTAAAAACTTGAATTTCATTAAAAACAATGAAGTGGTTTCTCATAATTTCAATCTCTATACTGTACATACTGTAGCATGAAATCTGATGATCAGTAAGTGCTGCATACTAATTGGAATTACTATGACATACAAAGCTGTACGTTGCTAGGAGGAATACGTTTTCTCCATTGGAGTTTGCAGCTTATTCGTAGCCTGACATAAAGTTTCTGAGCTCAACTTCTAACCTTTTTTCTCGAGGGGTATCATTAAAATACAGAACCTCCCTCCATACGGAATGCATGAGCATCTCAAGGAATCAAATGTGACACCTCAGTTATTTCTTTTCAAAGGGTTTTGTTATGCCCCATTAACCAACAGGGAAACAACATCACGTCAAGAGTCTTCACTTTGGGCTTGGCTTAAAACAAGTTACATGAGAGAAACAGAGCACAAAAGGCATTTCGGTTGCCACTGGCTAACATTAAAGTAATTGGTGATCAAGTTATGTAATTGTCCACAGATCTGAATAACAAAAAACTGAATTTAGGATGCTTCTCCCAAAAGCATTATGTGTTATATAAATGCTAAATAAGGCATAAATGTGATATCTGCAGAATACTGAACACATCGGTTACAGAAACAAATACCCTGACATTTTACTTTCACTGAGTGGACTGTAGAAAATATAACAATTTAAAATTAAATTTCCTGCTTGGGATTTTTGACAGCTTACAAAAAATATTTTTCTAAGCTTTGAAACCCATATTAACCCAGATGTAAGGAAGTTCCAGAAGAGATGATTAACTGGGGTTCTGAACACTAGGCCATAGTACAGCCATAATGCACTAGTGATCTTTTGTTGGTACAGGTCATATTATCTGGTGTTATATGTTCAAGCATTAAGCAATTGCAGCTACTGCTTGGCAAATAAAGATACTTGGTGAAGAATTAAGTGAATAGCCGTGTAGTGGCAGTGCATCACACCATTTGTGCAATGAAGACTCGGAAAGATGGCTGAAAGATGTCAGGCATGGATTGGTCAGAGTTGAATACCAGTGCTCATGTGTTAGCAAGATGTATCCTGGCCTGATAGGAATGACATACTTGAACAGACTAAAAGAGCAGAGAAGATAACATGGGGGGTTGGTTCAAGTATTAAAAATCCTGCAATTCACTGACCAGGGGACACAGGCGGAAATTGTATTTAAGTGCCATCAAGAAAAAAAAAGGGTATATTGAACATGTATGCTACAGTATTTACTTCCTATTTTGGAAACAAATGGTCCAAAATAATTGTG